ATAAGCACCCCCTGTCATTTCTCCTTTGAAAATTATAATTATCCACCGGCATTCATCTTTATTATCTACAGATGTACATAAAGTCATGCATCCAGTAATAGAACTCTCAGACGGCTTTTGAGGGTCATGTGTCCTATCCTTTCTTATCACAAAAGCCTGCACTCCCCAGATAGGATGTTCAAGTCTTTCTCTTTGGCTTCAGAGACAGAAGGCTAGCCATAATTCTTTGCAGTCTTTGAAGGTTAAGCCAGCTGTATCAGTTAATAACTTCACTAAAGGTTATCCATTACAAGGAAGGGAAGTCCTAACTACTCTAGTCAGAGATAGCATTAGTTATTTCCATGGCTCCTTTACAATCTGCATGCCATTTACAGAAAGGGCACATAGCAAGGAAAGATGTTACCAAAGCAGACATGCATTTAACCTAAATGTTACATAGTCTTGCCATATGAATCCATTCTATAGGTAATCTATCTTTAGAGAAACCTTCTTTTCTGATTCTTTATAGTCCTGATAGTTTATTTGTTCAAGTTATCAAATGTTTAACTGGATTCCATGGCCATTTCAATAAATCAAAAATTGCTTTCTCTCTACCTCCTGTTAAACAGTAAAACTGTGTGGAACAGCTCCCATACTAAGTGATTTAACATTTCTATTAAATTCGTTAGAACTATGCATCACTGATTTGTTTTAACCTTTGACTGAAAGTCTATAGTCCCTCTAAGTGAGATGAGCTGCTGTGCCTGTAATCCTGGCTTTCATTATCAGCTAATTTCTGCTTGCTCTTTTGAAAATCTCTAAAGACAAACTGTAATATTCTTCTTTCCAGGAATTAAATGTTCTGGTTACGAATTCTTAGGAGTGGGATCTGGTTCAGTTTTTCATGGTTATAAATACTAATAGCAAGTATGTAAATAAAATCCATGAGAGAAAATTTAAAAAAGTATCACGGGAAGTTAGCAGGCCATTGAATCCCTGTCACTCCCCACCCCCTTTCTCATTTAAATGAGAAAAGTAAATACCATAACTGCCCCTTCCTTAGGATTTAAAATACCATATAAAATAGTGTAGCTATCAAGGATTCCTCAAGACCCATTAAGGGAAAGCTACTTGTTCCTGAACAAAAGAATGGAATCTGAGTTCCACCTCTGGCTCTGGGTACAGACATGCCATTCTGTTTTCCCCCAATTACTAGTTCTCTCTGAAGAATTAATCTGAGTGTGCCTGTCACTCTCCTGCCCAAGAGACTGCCCAGAGGAAATGTGATTCACTGGAAGATGTGCTAAAGAGATAGCAGGGATAATTCCGTCCTTAATGAGATGCTGTCCTTAACCTTTGCAGAAGCCCCGCCTACAGTGCAGCTGCTGACATGGCCACCTTCAGCACTGCTGAGCCTCGCCATTTTTCAGAGTTCTAACTCAAAAAAAACTGTAGCTTTTCCTCTTGTTTTCTTTTGGATACTTGCCAAAAGCCTAAGTCTGCTTTCCCTGAGACTCTTTGCTTTCTAATTCTTTCTCTGAAACTTCCTCCCCTTTGGCAGTACAGTTGGTGGTCAAACACCACCACTGAACATGCTGGCTTTCCAGAACCCTAACTCTAAAAGCCATGGCCTCCTATCTGCCTTTTCCCCTACACCTCCCTCCTCCCAACAGCTGCTGAGATCACTGCACACAGGTCTTGTTTTCATTTTAAAGTCTAATGAAACTATACCAGGGCTTCTTTCTGAGTCCACTTCTAAAGTCTTTTATTAATGAGACTCACAACTCAGAAGGGAACCCACGTTCTGTGAGTATCAGTAGGGTGTTTTGTAGAAATCTACTGTGAACAGACATAATAAAAAAGTATCTCTCCTGAGCAGTAAGTCTAGATAAACATTTGAAAATGTTGATCATGTTTCATTTTAAAAGATTTTTCAGGACCAGCAATGGTGGTAAATTCCTATAATCCTAGAACTTGGAACAATGAATCAGGAAGAAAGTCATCGGAATTTGAGGCAAGCCTGGGCTGCCTACTGAATTCCATGTCAGTCAAGGCTAGAGTGGGATCCTGCCTCAAAATAAAGTAAATCTTTACCTGTAAAACATTCATACAGATATCTTGCTTAAATAATCTCTAATGAAAATGAGTTACATAGAAAAACAAAAACTAAATTAACACATTCTTCCAATGTAATGGGGATCTAGTCTTTCCTCCTAGAGCCCAACTAATTCTACTTTCTCTTTAGTGTAATTTTTGGGAGAATAGGTGAGTAAACATATTTTGAAGCAGTAGCAATATTAGCAAAATCAGGAGTTATTTACAAGTTGTTTGATTGGGTCATTATAAGATAAAGAGGATAGATTTCTGAAAATACAAAATTACTTTGAACTATCCTGTGCACACACAGAGGAGATAAAAATATTATTCTAATCTCATATGATATTTCAGAGGCAGGAGACCTTCTGACTATACTTGGAAGTCCCAAACACAAGGTGAGACTTGTAGCCTTGTCTCTAAAAGAGTGGGACAGAGGTGGTCTGGGAAGACTGCACTTGCCATCAACATATGATGAACTGAATTCCTATCGCCAGCATCCATGTTAAAAGTCTGGTATGGGCATCATGCATCTGTAATCTCAGTTCAAGTTCCAAGAGGTTCCCTGGAACTCACTGGCCTGAAAATCTAGCCAAACTGGCAAGCTTCAAGTTCAGTGAGAGACTTTGTCTCAAAACACAAGATAGAAAACAAGGAAGGCACCTGATGTCAGTCTCTGGCTTCCACATGTATACACATACACATATATACATACAAATAATGGCACAGAAAGAATGAAGAAGTAAAATATGCAGGGGTGGTTATGACCTGGTTTAACTTAGTAGATAGCACATTGCTGCCAAAGTACCTAGAAGGATAAGGCAAAACTGGCATGCTGCAGAAGGAAAAAAAGTTAAACATAAACTAGACCATAAAAATCAACCATCAGGTTCTCACTGTCTGCTGTTTCTAAGACTCACTGGGGATACCAGAGAAAAGTGCCTATTCCTAGACCTCCTACACAGGTATCCATTCAGAAGGAAGCAGTGGCAGCATCAGGAACACAAGGAACTTGCTTTGTGGCAGGTAGTGTGTCAAGGTTTTATAGACATCGTCTTCTTGCATCCTTAGAATCATTTTATTGGGTTGGTACTAGTATTAAAGAAGAGAAAGTCCCTGAGTTCAAGGGCAGCTTGTTCTACAGATCAAGTTCCAGGACAGCCAATGCAACACAGAGAAACTCTGTAGCCCAGAAACAAACAAACAAATAAACAAGCAAACAAAATCAAAGAACAAAGAGTCAAGACAAAGAACAGTAAAGAGCTTTGTCTCATGATGTTCTGCTATGAATAGAAGAAGGAGGGTCAAGCCAGAGAAGTGTACCTCAGAGTCTGAGTTTTTGATCAGGACCTAAACTACACACCAACATAGGAAGGTCAAGCCAGGGCAGTACTGAAGTCAGTCTCTTCTACTGGAGAAACTGAAACCTAAAAACTGAAATGCTTTCTCTAAGACAAATCCTTACAGTGCATGATTAGGAAAAAGCCAACCACTACTTGATACCAACTGTTCTCAAATATTAGTCTACAAATGTTCCATTAGGCAGGAAAAGAGCACACCGTATTAAAAGCCATCTTGTTAGTTTATGCTGTGCTTCTGTGAGCACAGTGTTATTCTTGGGCAAAATCTACCTTTTCCTACCAGACATTTAGTTACAGCTCATGACACATACCAACCATTATGAGGGATTCTTAATTTTGGTACTTTTTCAGAGTAAAGAATGGAAAGGAGAGATACCATTTATTTTAGTTAGGGTTTCATTGCTATTAAGAGACACCATGACCAATGCAACTCATATTGGGACAACATCTATTTGGGGTTGGCTTAGGTTCAGAGGCTCAGTCCATTATCATCATGGCAGGAAGCATGGCAGCATTTAGGCAAGCATGGTGCTGGAGTTGCTGGGAATTCTGTATCTTGTTCCAAAGGTAAACAGGAGGAGACTGACTTCCAGACAGCTACAAGGAGGATCTCATTGTCCACCCCTACAGTGATACACTTCCTCCAACAAGACCACACCTACTCCATCAAGGCCATACCTCTTAATAGTGCCATTCCTTGGGCCAAGCATATTCAAACCATCACACTATCCCTAAAGGGAGGTGGTAACAGACAAAAGGAGATATGAGTGATATAATGTGTATGTGTGTGGGTGCATGCAATGGTGTGTATGTGGTGTGTGTGTGTTATACACAATGACTCATGTGTGGGAGGCAGAGACATGAGTGTACTCTGCTGTACATATGCATGTAGCGGTCAGAAGTTAACCTCTATTTCTTTAGACCTTATGTTTGGAACAGGATCTCTTACTGAACCAGAAACTCATCATTTCAGCTAGGACTGACTGTCCAGGAAGCCTGTGGTATTCACCTGTCTCTTTCCTACCACGGGTGTTTGAGTTATAGATGAATGCTACTTGTCTTTCATGTGGGTGTTAAGAGATCCAAATTTCAGGCCTAATGCTTACCCAAGCAAGCATTTTCCCAGTTGAGCTACCTCCTCATGTCTGGCTGATATTGAAAAATGAAATAAGCCATGATTTTGATATGCTTCTTAAGGGTAGCCTTCCTCTTGCCAAGTTAAACATGATAAATCTCAGCCTGTGTACAACATGCTTAGGTCTTTGCTCTGGTGTAGTGTATACAGGTAGGCACAGTACCCAGAATGATCAGGTTGATCCCAAGCTGAAACTACAAACGCTTGGTATACTAGAGGCCTTACTTGTTGAAACTTTACCTTTTCACTCTGAAACAATCAAGGTGATTTCGGAAGACTACAGCAAGGATAATAAACATCTTTCCAGATAAGATGACTATACCAAACTGTGCAGTCACAATAAACAGGCAGTTTTGAGACAGTCAGTGCTGGCGTGGGTCACAATGTGCTCCTTTCCCAGTGATGCACAATTGTTCCCATGTCAAACTAACCTTCATTACTTCCACCTGCAGGTCCTCATTGAGTGAAGGTGTCACTTTCACGGCATTCAGGATCTGATTGAGCAGCTGCTTCTCATCAGAGTCTGTCTCCATGGATACAAATCTCTCTTCTGACAGGAGCTTCTGTGAAGTGGCACAAGGCAGTGATTGCAGCCTTTCCCTATTGTATCTTATTATGTCTGATGCTCTTTTTTCTTACTGTGGAGTATATAGCTGGAGGTCATCAGGCAAGAACTTATGCTATGTACCATTAAGAGGAAACATGCATAAAACTTCAGAAAATGGGTTTTGGAAAAAGTATCTTTCAAATACTAGGTAATTCACTTTATATTTCTGCCAGTAAAATGCTATGTCCTGGCCATCTAGATTATTCAGGTAGTGGGAATAACGACTGGGTGTGTTAAGAGGAACCCAACCCCACGAAACAGTCATTCATAGGCATACCCTTTCTGAATGTAAGTTTTGTTATTATAAAAGGAAAAGGTTTTGAGTATGTAAGTTCACTTTTTCAGATATGTATGTCTCCAGAAATTATTCTTGAATTTAAAAACCCTTAATATGTATTCCATTAGAAAACAAAGGCATTCACTTGTATGAGGACATCAGTGGAATTTGTGAATTAGCCTTTTGCTACTCAGGACAATGCTTACTTTTTTAAAAAAAAATCTACGCTTATGAGCCTACAATTTTACTTTCTCCATTTCTCAAGAGCTACATAGATGAAGTAGCCAAAAGACATAAAGAATGTGCCCTGGGAGTGAGTAAAAAGCTTATGGAATGGCCTGACACTAGAGAGTAATACACAGCTTGAGTCACATTCTCAAGACAGAACTTACCGAGCAATCAGGGTATATTCTATGCTGTCTCACTCTGAAACTCCCATTTCTCATTCACAAGGGTTGCAATTAAGTTGTTCTCCCCAATTCTGAACTGGTGCAATAGGTCATTTTTCCCACTGAGACTCAGTATTGGATTTTATACTTATTTATTCTTGGTCTAATTTGTTCTTTTCCATGGTAACTTAGGTACAGCAGGAATCTGTTTAAAACCCTATACTATCCCTCAAAGAAGTCCATAGTTGGAAGTTTCTATAGAAGCTGTTTTACAGTGAGAAAGGCTTGGAAGCCCTGTATTTGTGCCTAAAGTTATCAGGCCATAGGGACCAAGGGACAGACTCAAAGACAAGCCATTAATCATCATCATGAATAAACAAGCCCTGGAAAAAAGCCCTGAAACTGCAACTTTGGAAAAAAGTGGGAAATATAAATGATACTAGAGAAAATGGAAATATGCAACAGGTCAAAGCAAACCCTTATTTGTTTCTACAGATGGCTTAATGCTAGAGACCAAAGGCCGTTGAAGAACATTAATGAAGATGCTTTGAAATTTCCTATGCTTTTGTATGTTAAAATACAGTTTATCTACTTCCAATCTACTGAGGCTAATGGGAGCTAATGTCTGACTCTTGAATACAGCTCTATTCTTAGAAAGGGCTCTCTGACCCTATAAACCTCAAGAATTGCCCACAAGGACCAATGCCACTGTAGGCTTGAACTTCATTGTGTTTTAGAGACCAAGTGCCTTATAAAATCAGTGTGTTTATATGGCCATCACCTTCTTGGGCTTGGGATTACAGTCATTCTGTTTGGTTTAAACTCTCAAGTAGTTTGACTTTTAGGATTAGGATTTTTTTTTCCTATTTTGTTCTAGAAACAAAATATGTTAATCTTCTCATCAACCTAGTTGTAGAATAAAAAAAGCAAAAGAAGTCAGATTCAGAAAGACAAATATGATGTTTCTTTCTTTTCTCTGGAACCTGTATTTTACAGAGATACATAAAATTATTTATGTGTCTGTGTTTATGTGATATATATATATATGTGTGTGTATGTGTATGTATATATATATGTATATATCTGTAGAAGGAAAATATCTAGAGGAAAAATGGAAACAGACTCAGGACAGGGAAACAGAGAGGCTGGCATGGGGGAGAAGGGAGGAGAGGGTAGGATGAATATTATCAAAGTACATGATATGCTTGCATGAAATAGCTTTCTGAAACCTCATTACCAAGCATGGGGAATATAATACTCCAATTATAATGCCATGCCATGTGCAGGAAACTGGATACAATGAAGATCATCATATTCAGCCAGTCTCAGAAAAACAAGCATATCTTCTCTCATTTGTGGTTAGCAAGTGTCATATAGATTTTAAAAAAATCATATATGGACCCATGACATGAACATAGAAGGGAATTGTCTAGGGAAACAAAGGGGTTCATGGGAGGTGGGAGGCCAGAGGAAGTGGGGGAGTCTGCTCAAAATATAATATGTAAGTGTATGAAAATTTAATAAGGGAAATTGATAGAAAAAATCATAAAATCTTCTCAATTTACTATTAATCCTGATTACATAGAATCACAGATGTGGACTACACATCCGAACTGATATGAACCTCTAGGAGTCTCTATTTCTTGGTATCCCTAACTTTCAAAACAGTTGGTCTCTATAAAAAAGTTTATCCCTATGTGGGCTTAGCTGATCCCTGTGAATGAATCAATGCTTGACTACATTGACCCAGTAATGCTGTGTCCGGAGAAATTCTCGAGGCTATAAGATCTTGACCCTTCTGGTGCTATTATCTTAATTCAATCTAAGTTTTAGACAGTGGGCATTTACATGCTAATGATTTTCTCTTTCAACGCCAAAGTGGTTTGTCAACTTCTGTCACATGACTGCATCCAGGCAAAGTCATACCTGCATTCCTGCCAAAGCATGTTGGGCCAGCTTCACATTCTTTGATTCCAAAGCCAACTGGAGAGGCAGCAGACATTTCTCCCTGGCAGACAGAGGAACAAGTACATGTGAGCTGAGCAAGCCTGGCAGTCTTGCACTGTTATCTTTGTGTATAACCCCTCCCACCTCACCTCACCTCCCTCAAATCACCATCACCACTGCCCCAAACCCTCACCCCAATGTCTATCACTCCAAAGTCACCACCATCACCACCACCCCAACCCCCATCATCACCATCCCAAACCCACCACCACCACCATCCTAACCCCCACTGCCATCACACAAAAAACTAGAACCCATCATGAAATTACACATGCCTTAAAGATCAACAAAGCAATGAAGAAATGACAATATATTAGGCGCTTTCCCTCTTAATGTGGCTGTAGGAAGAACAGAAACAATTACTTCTTCTAATGGGTCTATAGTATGCTAAGTGCCATACAGAGGGGTCTATGAACACACTTTCCTCTTCCGCAGATTAATGAATAGCTCAAACTCAGTATACCAAGTTTGAGCAGCTATGGGTGAAGAGGCTGCCTCAAGAAATTTGGAAAGGTCATGGGACACTTTTCTCTCTGGATGAGAGAGGCTAATTAACATTCCTCAGTCAGGGGACACTTGCTCCCCGCCCCCAAAGGGAGAGGGTGATTAACATTCCTCAGACTACAGGGGAGGAAACCCACCTTCGGGTGGGGAAGGCCCAGAACCTGTAGACACATTCCGCAGGACAGATCAACCCTTGCCACCTACAGACAAGGGAGGTCCTTGCCACCTTATTCCCTAAAGACTAATCAGTTTATAAAGTCACGATGTTCTGCCAATCACACTGTGCCTAATGGCTGCTGCCCTAAAAACTGTATAAAAACTGGCCAAACAGGCTGCCTGGGGTCGCCACCTCCCGTTTGGGTGCAGGATGACCCCAACTTATTGGAACAATAAATTCCTCTTGCTTTTTGCACTGATTCCTGGCTCTTCATGGTTCACTCAGATAGTCCCCGTTAAGCTAAGGCTCACCAGAGTCTTACATAGGGAGCAGCATTTACATAAATTTCTATGTCCCATTCCAAACCTTTTTCCTATCTAGGAAGTCACTGGAACACTACTTACATTCCTTATCCATATAAATTAAAATTCCCTTAATTTGCTAATTTCTCCCCAAGTCAAAGAATATAATAGTCACTCTCATAATAGTCTATCATCTCTATCACGTCGAGAAGATACATATTCTTATGGCAGAAATATAACCACACATCAACAGCTTTGGTGAACGAAGTGCTATTTAGACTTCCTAAAGCTTAAAAACATCAAAAAATTTTTGTTTTCAGCAGAAGCCAGATAGACAAGAGAGCAAGCCACAGGGTTAGAGTCTAGAGTTACATTTGTGGAGGAATCAGGGTCACTGCTATAGAATACAATGAAATGGAAAGTTAACTATAGCCTTGATTTCTTCCTATCCACCCCACATCTCCTCAGTCTTCCTGTGGAATCGTCCACTAGCTCTCCACTGACTGAGAGTCTCTGCTACTTCCTGCTTGCAGCTGTGAAGGTGGCCGACAACAGGCCATCAGGAAGAAGGCCTGGTGCCTAATCCTTTTCACCTCTCTCCTTGCCAACCCAATGACCCAATGGCCATTTTTACATGATGATCAATGAACAGTGCTGCCAGTTTACAGTTGGCACATCCTTTGGCAGATAGATGAGTTGCTCAAATATGGTACTTCCAGATGGGTAGTTGTAACTTCGTTGTTGTCCTCAGTATTGTCTGCCCTTCTCAGTGACAAGGCAAAAGCACTGTTGAGCAGAGGAAGGGATGAGGCTTCCAAGTTTGCTTCTTTTGTTCCATTACAATCAGTTCATAAATTTGGAAAAGTGAAAACAGAGCGGAAAGGAGGATTTGTGGATTGATGGTGTAACAGCAAAAGTCACCCTGGACTTCGCTTGCAAACCCTGAAACAATCAAATCTCCATCAGGATGAAGTTACTTTGAAAGAACGAACCTTCATCTCCAATCTGGAGTCAGAGGTGACAGTGAGGCACAGCACCAAGAAGCCACCCAGTAAATACAAATCCCTGGCAGGTGAATAGCCTGAAGCAGGAGAAATCTATGAGGGAGTTGCAGGCTGATGTTGCACATGCATTACATATTATAGATCAAGGCAGTGTGAGTGCCAAATGCAACAATAGTAAGCATTCTCTGTAGCAGAATTTTCCCCCAATTAATTTAAATATTAATACAACAAGAAGTCTGTGACTGGGCAGTGGAAAAGGAAGGTGGGCAGAGATTTTAAAAGACAGCAGAGGGAGGAAAGAGAGAAGGAAGGAAAATGGAGGAAGAGAAAGATGGTCTAGATTCTCTGTTGGGGCAGAGAGTAGCTGTGTATAGCGCAGGATGGTGCCATTTTTTAATATTTCCGGCAACAACCCTTTTGTAAATGTCCCTTGGGAAGCAGTATTCTGTTCATACACAACTGAAAAATCACTACCACCCCTCTGTCTGCATTAGTAACTCCTACAGTCCTTACTCTACCCGTGACTAATTTGAACTAGGTAGCTGACAAATTACAGGAGTGCCCAGCTGTATCATGACTCTGAAGTTCTTTACTTGTTTGTTCTTCATGGTGTTACGAAGGCAGTACAGGTAGTATGAGACTGTTTCAACTAAGTTTTTGCAGGGTTGAAAAGTATCAGTTTCTGTGACGGCTGTGGGCTATCGAATCATTAAGACATGAACCAAATCATTACTTTGTTAAGTCTTAGCCACCCATTCATTAAAAAGCCAATCTTAAAGCCAATACTGAAATGGGAACAGTGGTTTATACTTGTAATCACAGAACTTGGTCTACATGGTAAATACCAGGCCAGGTAAAATTTTGTAGTAAGTGAGACTCTATCTAAAATAAAAGAATAAAAACCAATCCTAAAGAGTTGAAGTGAGGTGTGTATGGACCATTGAGGAGAGAGTAACAACTTTTCAATAAACACACAAGTATATTAGCTATGCATTTCACAAGGCTTCCATTAGAATCGCTCAATTCTGACAGATATAATACCAGCTATTGGCAGTAAGTAAATCAATAAGCATGACCATGTTCCAATAAACCTGTATTTACAAAACCATCTAAGGGTCCAGATCTGAACAAACTGCTGGTCTGCCCAGCCCTGAAACAAATTATGCCTGAGAACATGGGCTAAGCATATCTAGCCTTCTCATGTTTCCAGAGGGTTTTCACAGAACATGGAACTAATTGCCTTAGAAGGACATTAACAAAACCAAAGACAGAGTCAAAATCTTATTAGAAAATAAGTGCTTTGGAGAAATATCACTGTAGGCAAAGACTTCACTGGGTACTAAACCAAGTTATCCTATCCACCCATTGAACCAACATTTGGTGCCTATGATGAATGTGCCAGGCACCACATACAGATCTGGGCACAAGACAACAAAGAACAAGACAAAGCAGGTGACTTTGTTTATTCATATTCAGAATGAACCAGAAGAAGAGAATTGTTTTTAGCATGTTCTATTTCCATGTTTAGTTTTATTTATAACTACAACTTTAAAATAAACCTATACATCCTCAGGTCACATTAGAAAAAGCTTGGGTTCAGGGAAGTCTTGCAGCCTGCCCAAGTCCACTCAATTCATGTGTATTGGAGATAATTCAAATCTAACTCTGACATCCTAAAGCAAATTCTTCCTAACCTCCTTTTATATTAGAAGTGCAGAGCAAATCTATTACATCTGTTTCTTAACCTTTTTTTAGGTCCAAAAAGGCATGATATTACCTGCAGCGGGCTAAGGCTGATTTTATGTTAACACGACACAAGCCAGCTCTCATTTAGGAAGAGGAAACTTCCAATTAAGAAAATGCCTTTAATATATTAACCCTTGGGCAAACCTATGGAGCATTTTCTTGACTGATATGGGCCCAGCTCACTATGGGCAGTGTTACCCCATGGATGCTGTCCTTGGAACTATAAAAAATCTGGCTGAGCAAGCCGTGAGGAGAATGCAAGTAAGCAGCATTCTTTGATGGCCTCTGGATCAGTTCCTGCCTCGAGCTTACACCTGACTTCTTTTGATGATGGATTGTGATATGGATGTGGAAGTGAAATAAGCCCTTTCCTCTCCCAAGTTGCTTATGTTCTTAGCATTTCGCAGCAGTAAAATCACTGAGATGCTTCCAAATAACTAGATAATTTCCACGACATTTCCCAGGTCAATCTGATCCAAGCATTCCGGAATGGAGACTCCCTTCTCAGAGGACTCTAGGCTGTGTCAGCTGACAGTCAAAATTCTCTTGGACACTGAGTTTGGCAAGCCCTGGATTAACAAGAGACCTTGCTTCAGGAAATAAATTGGAGAACGAAGGAAGACCCTCAATATCAACTTGGGACCTTCACATACACCCGCTCACAAGCACCTACACACATGTGCTTAGTATGCAAACACACATATACACATATCACACATATACATACACATTATTTAAAAACAAACAAGTAACTAAATGAATCTGGCAAAACACTTTCTTCCAGACAAGCTGTATTAGTTACTTCCCGGTTGCTGTGATAAAACACCATGACCAAGGCAACTTATAGAAGGAAGGGTTTACTTGGGGCTTAAAGTTCCATAGGAATAAGATTACATCACCACTACTTAGGAAGGAGCAATGGCTGAAGGTTGCCATAGCAACTGGAGTTGGAAGCTGAAAGCTGAGGGACCACAAATGGGAAGCAGAGTAAACTAAGGATGGCGGGAGAGTTTTAGACCTCAAAACCACCCTTAATGACTCACCCCTACCAACAAGGCCATACCTACTAAGCTACCATGAACACCACCAGTGACTGGGGACCAAATATTCAAATACCTAAGAATATGGGGGACATCTCATTCAAACCACAACAGGAAGGAATGTATTATTTTCCAGGAGACTCATGGGCTCTGCTCGCCTACCAGTTCCACAGGGATACCAAGTCACTGCGCTGAAAGGAAAGGACTTTGCCCAATGTAGTAGAAACACAAGGGTCTGTGCTGAGTCA